CCTGCTGATGCCTATGGGAAATAGGCTTGGGGGGGAGGGAGAACGAGCTAGCAGGAGAAGAAGAGAGGAGGCGGAGAGGTTGGGGAGAGGAGAGGAGAGGAGAGGAGAGGAAGGGAGAGGAGAGGAGAGGAAGAATATGATGAGCGGAGTAAACGTTAATTATTTTATCAGCATATGAACAAGGTTTCTCTAAAAATGAACATCTCACGTCCTCCCGCCTACTCCCTTCCCCTTCCTCCTACCTCACACCTCTTCCTGCCCTCCCATCTCTCTCCCCTCCCCCTCCCTCCACTCCATCCAGTCTCATCCCGCTTCTCTCCTTCGCCTCTCCCTCCCCCCCCCCATTCCCCTTGCCGCTATCACTTCTTGGTTGGATGCATCTGATAAGCATGCAAGTACTCGTTCAGCGGCTGGTTGTACACCTCCATTCCCAGCTGTCTCAGGGCCCACCTGCAACATGCATGAGGAGAAGAACGTTGCGCATGCAGCGCCGACAGGATGTCCTCTGCACGGATCGCCCTCCTGCTCTCATGTCAGGGAGACGCGATGTGGCATGATATGGCAAGTCTAGACAAGAGAAGGCAAGGCAAGACGAGATGAGAGGAGAGAGGAGGGGGGAGGGAGGAGAGAGGAGAGAGGAGAAAGGACAGGAGAGGGGAGAGGAGATGGGAAGAGAGGAGAGGAGAGGAGAGGAGAGGAGAGGAGAGGAGAGGAGGGACGAAGAGAGGAGAGGAGGAGAGAGGAGAGAGGAGGAGAGGAGGAGGAGGAGGGACGAGAGGAGGCGGGACCCCATCAGCGTTCGACCTGTTCTCATCCAGGGAGTGTTGCGTTGCTTCCCCGACTACAACCATGACCTGAAGAGTAGCTCTCAACGGAGCTCGCAGGAGGGCAGCAGCGGCAGGTACCATTTCAGAGAGGAAGACCTGCCAAGACGGAGAGTCAGCATGGCTTGAAAGCCTCGGGGCATGAGGAGTGAAGATGAGGGGGGAGGTGTGATAAATGCCTGTTGAGGATGCGCAAAGTTGATACGGGATGAACCAATTGTGATGAAAAGTTGTTCACATGATGATGTAGATAATGCTCATTGTTCAAGGACATGATCAGTACTCAGTGATGGAAGATGAAGCACCACGAAAGCCACACGAGCAACGAGGAAAGACAACAGGAGTGAAAAGATACCAACACAACATGGTTCCCTTCCCTCACCTGGACAGCCTCAATAGTCTCTCTGGCAACGACCGTGTCGCTGTGCAGCGCTTTCTTCATAACCTTCACGCAGTCATGTCAGCCAGGAGCAACCATGGCGCCTCAACAACCCTCGCGATGTTGGAGACTGGCAGGAATGTGTCCTCTGCTTCTTCTGCATTGTCCCTCCGTCTCTTCTTCTCCTTCTTCTCTGTAGCGTTCGCCTGTTCTGCACCTGCCATGGCATCTGTTAGGACAACGACCATCGTGCAACTCTGGTTGTCACCCATGTTGGAGGCGGTCCCCTCCTCTAGCTCCCCTCCTCTGCATCAGCGGTGAGATAGTATACGTAAAAATGTCTTCACGTGTCTTAACGATCCTTGCTCCTCGCTCTTATCGCTTCCTCCCCTTCCTCCTCCCTGCTCCCTGCTCCCTGCTCCCTACTCCCTGCTCCCTGCTCCCTGCTCCCTTCTACCTGCTCCCTGCTCCCTGCTCCCTGCTCCCTGCTCCCTGCTCCCTGCTCCCTTCTACCTCCTCCCTGCTCCCTGCTCCCTGCTCCCTTCTACCTCCTCCCTCCTCCCCCGTCCCTCTTCTCTCCTCTCTCCTCCTCTCTCTCCATATCCCTCCCTCATGGTTCTCCGACCTTCGTGTCTGTCTTTTTGCTACCTCACCCATGTCTTCTCGTCCCCCCCCCCCCCCCCACCCTCCCACTCCTCCTGCCTCATGATGCGCATTTTTCGTTCTTACCCTGGATTGTGCGCCATACGGTCTACCAGCTTTTGTGGTTACCTCCTGTTTGTGGGGGTGAAGCGATTCCACGGAAGAGCAGGAGGGAGGGAGGGAGGGAGGGAGGGAGGGAAGGAGGGAGGGAGGGAGGGAGGGAGGGGGTTTGTTAGAGCACGAGGAGGAGGAGGAGCTCATGTATCATAAGTCAGTGTCTGATGGTACTGTAGATGCCGGAAGAGAACGTCGTCGTGCTTCAAACCGTCGAAGAGTACGAGGAGGAGCATGGAGTGAGTCTTCGGGGGAAGAAGATTCGGAGCAAGGTGAAGAAGACGGAGAAGGAGAAGAAGAAGATGTTTCTTGAGAGACTGGATGACCGACGAGCAAAGCGAGGTATTAACACGATCTCCCGAGCTGAGGTAGCGAGACACAACAAACAGCATGACGGATACATTATTATCGATGGAGTAGTCTACGATGTTACCAATTTCCTCGATCACCATCCCGGCGGTCCGAATATTCTCATGGAGCATATTGGGAAAGACGCTACAGTCAAGTTCGAAGGTATGTTGTTGGTTCATGCAGAGGTTGCGATGACGTTGTTGGTAGACATCGGACATTCTCTGCTCGCTAGGTATCAGCTTGCCGACTTGTATGTCGGGGAGCTGCCGATGATTGAGAAAGTTCCTTATGAAAGCTCTGATGAGGAGGAGGAGATCCAACAGAGGTTGCTCCTTCCCTCCCTCTCGTTCCTTCCTCACTCGTTTTCTCCTCGTGCTCCAGCGAGGCGGATAGTGATTCGAGTGACGAGGTCAGTTGCAACAAACCCTCTCCTCTAGAGCACACCTCTCAACTCCACAGCAAACCCTCTCCTCTCCTCCTTGTCGCTGGCTGTCAGCTGTGACATGATCGTCGATGTTGTCTTGATCAGGAGAGCTCGACGTCGAAACGTCGCCAGCAGGGAGATAAGCAGCTCAAGGCAACTCAGGCCAACTCAAACTCACTGCGGGTTCTGTTTGAGATGTTCAGAGATGTGCCGTTGTTGACGCGTACGACCAGACAAGGTTGAACAGAAGACCGAACAGATATGACAAGAAGATCTCGCAAGGAGGTCGCCGACTCGAACACTCTGCTGTAGTTTCAAGTGACTGTCAAGACAGGCGGGAAGAATCAGGGAGGAGGAGTGAGGGAAACGAGCGCGGACGATTCTGACGAAGTGAAGGATCAGAACGATGGGGGGAGGTGAGGGGGAGGGGGAGGGGGAGACGGGCGGGTGAAGTTGTGTGCAGAGTGAATGTATGGAACTACATGCTACACTTGGAGTTTGTCAAGGTGAGGGAGGAAATTAGACTCGCGGTGCTGTGGAGGTGACAGGCTGGCAGCTGCTGCTGCAAGCTGCGTGGGGGGAGATGAAGAAGAGGAGATCGCAGGTCAGAGCTTGTTCGTGATCGACCGAGCTGCAAGCAATTTCATCATCTTCCCGTGAAAAATTTCACCTTCCCCAAGAAATTTTCATTTTCCTCTCGTTGAAAAGACTCAACTTGAATGGACGATTCAGATCTCTCCCACTTGCGATTCCGTTTGAGAGAAAATGATGAGGAGGCATGGGAGGAGATGAATTCTTTCCTTCCTGATGTACTTGTAGTGATACTGAAACTTTCTCTTCCTCGTCCTCTGCGTTTGCAGGTCTTCACTGTTTTGGCTCTTTTGGTCCTGGCTGTTGTCCTGGCGATGGTGCCTGTCCCTCATTTCTCTCAGCTCCCTCCTGAAGGTGAAGATTTTGACTGACACGGAAAGAGGAAGGAGATGAGGAGAAGGAGGGAGTGAGGGAGAAGGAGGAGGGAGGGAGGGAGGGAGGGGAAGGGGAGAAGAAGGGAGAGGCGGACAGAGGGACGGATGGCGGGATAGGGAGGGAAGGGGGGAGTGGAAAAATCAGCGAGAGGAGGAGGAGAAGGGAAGGTAGAGCAGGAGAGCAGGACACGGGAGTAGAGAGAGAGGTTTCAAGGAAGGAAGGAGGGGTTGACGAGGAAGGAAGGAGGGGTTGACGAGGAGGAAGGAAGGAGGGGTTGACGAGGAGGGAGGAAGGGAGGGGAGGGGAGGGGAGGGGAGGGGAGGGGAGGGTGGGTGGGTGGGTGGGTGGATGTTTGTTTTCATCGAGAAGAGATCGGAGTGGAGAAGGCTTTTGAAATAACCTGCAGACCCATCTTCCATACCTTGGCTCCCTACGGAGAAACTGCATACAGAAATCCTGACGAAGAAATCGGTAGGATGTTTGTCCGTTGGAAAACATCAACATGCGTTTGTATTTTGCTCTTCCTATTTCCCCTTTCTGTCCCCTGCCTTCCCTTTCCTTCCTCGTGATCTTCTCCTCTCCTCTCCTCTCCTCTCCTCTCCTCTCCTCTCCTCTCCTCTCCTCTCCTCTCCTCTCCTCTATCCATTCCTTCCCTTCCTCCTTCCCTCCTTGTCCTCCTCCTCTCCCCTCCATTCATCCTCCTCTCCCCCCCCCCTCCTCCTTTTCCTACAGTTCTCAGTTCTCGTTTTGCCTTTCATGTTTATTTCTCTTCACAACTCTTCATCCTCTCACTTGTCCTGCAGCCGCACCACGGCAGTGAGAAAACTCCGGAAGGGCATGACGCGCAATCGTTTCTTTATTTCTGATTGCAGCGCAATGACGGAGCCGATGACAGACGAGATCTTGTACAAAGTGGGTGAGGGTGCAAACAAGAAACGAAAGTTGTAGATCGAAGTGACTGCTTGCTCTTGCTGTTTTCCTTCTCCGTTCAGCAACAACCTCCTTCTCCTCCTCCTCCTCTCCCT